TTCTTGGCACAACTTGGTGAGCACATCCAGGGCATCATCTATTAGCTGAAATACGTTAATTGGTATACCGTCTATTCCTGAGGCCTTATTTTTTGCTATTTCCTCCAAAGCAGCTGAACTTCTTCCTTCATCACCATAGGCTCTTGCTCAAATGTTATTCCACCTCCCCTTTCCCAGGAATAACAAACTACAACCCTCAACTTGCTCCCTTATCTTGTAACAAACAGCTGTCCCCCTCCCCAATTTCCTTGTAAGACAATAAAAAAACTTCACTCTAACTTTAAGTAACTGCTAGACTCGACTTTAGAGGCAACCTGGCAGTTTCTCCTCAATAAACTTTCTTTCTTGACCTGATCTGGGTTCTGTCCTTCCTCAGTGGCCTTACAGAACCATGTGCCTTTGGGTTGACAGCACAAATCCTTACCACTAGGTCATCAATTCGGTGAGGAGAGAAGCTCTTACTCAGTATGCTTCCCCAGAGATTCCTCGTCTCCTGTACCCCATCTCACAGGCATGGCTTCTTTATACTTTTGTATTTAAAATCAGAATTAGAACATTTTTAAGTTGATTCATCTGTCACGTCTCCCGTAATACACAGACAATGATGAATGACAGGAATCATGAAGAGGGATGCCAGTAATGTAGAATTATTGAGCACAAAAATAAATCAGTGGCTATCTTAAAATATTATCTAACTAAAGATTTCACTTTAGACATTTAAAATTTATTATTTTGAAGGTTTATTATTTGGTTTAGAAGATTTTCAAAAATAATTATTTCAAGACACTTTTCAATGATATGGCATTCCTATCTGATAGAAGCGAGTGGAGAAACGTCATTAATAAAGTAATGCTCATAACTCTTAGGGGTTTTGAAAAAACAATTTTTCATTCAATCACTCATAAACATTTTATTTTATAAATTAATTACAAGTTTTAAATGCCAGTATTTGTAATACTTTATCAAATACTTGTACCTTCCCTTTCCATTAACCCTATCCATCAATCCCTTCATCCATCCACCTATCCATCCACTAATCTCTGCCCCTTTCTTTCCTCTCCCATTGTTGTCAACCCTCCACATTTTTTTGTGTGTGTACAACTTTCCTCCCTTATTTAATCAGTTATTCATAACCTTTTCCGAACTGTAAACTGCAATATACACAATGTCTGATCATCCATTCATTTCAGTTTTATCTTCCCTTCACCTATTGCAATATAGTGTTAATTATCTAGCCATTTATTTCCTTCTCACCGCTCCCTATCATAACCATATATTTTTATGAGAGGTCTTATACAATGTCCTATTGTGATTGAGTTCTTTTTCTCAGCATAAAGGGCTTAAGGCTCTTCAATATTACGTAGTGTTTTACAAATTCTTTTTTTATACAATACTTTGTTGTGTGAATGTACCATGGTTTCTCTATCCATTTGTTTGTTGATCGGCACATAAGCTATTTCCATCTCTTTACTATTATTCATAATGCTGAAAAAAATGTGTGTGCATGTGTGTGTGTGTATTTGTGTCACAACTTTGATTTCTTTAGGGTACATTCCTAAATAGTGCAATAGCTGGACCAAATGGGATTTCTATTTTTAATTTTTTGAACAAACACCAGACTGCTTTCCAGAGTAGTTATATATTTTGCATTCCCACCAATAGTGCATGAGAGTTCCAATTTCTCCACACCCTCACCAACATTTGTTGTTGACTGCCCTGTTGACCTTTGTTATTGCTGCTGCAGCTTCCCTTGGATCCTAAATGGCAGATGATAGGAAATTGTTGTGTACTTATTTTATGAAAAATTTCCGTTTAAATAAGTAGTCATTAGTTCGCCAGACTCTTGTTGGGTTATCTTCAAAACAAACAAAACTTCAACGTTTTGTATCACCAAGTTGGATGAGGTAAGTTTTTGTTTGTTTATTTGTTTGTTTTGGAGATTTTTGTTTGTCACTTGTTTATTTGTTTTGATTTTTGCATATATACAAAATCCTTATCCCATGGAATGTCAATCACTTTAACACATGCAAAATGAAATTGTGGTGCTGATTGAGATACAAATAGAAATGGGGTTATTTAACTATAAGGCATTATTCCTGGAAAATTGATAAAGACTCTGTTAGGTAAAAAAAAAAAAGTTTGCTTCATATGGTTTTTTGGGGAAAAAACCAAACCCAAATTATATTTTCCTTCAGGAAAGGAAAGATACCTCCGTCAAAACAGAGGATTCCAAGAGAAAGTAAGTAACTCTAGAGCAGAATCAGCTTCAGCAAACTTCAGCAACCAGTACATCCCCATCTAAGAGCCAGCCTCAGCCTAATGTGATGCCACCATTAGTCCAATGCAGCTATTCCTTAACGAAGGTACAACTCCTACTCCCATTTTGTGTTAATTCCTGAAGATAATTACAAGAATCATGATAACCTTGGAAGAATTTCACATCTAATCCTCTACTATGCAATTTGAGTTGTAGTATTAGTTCATCAGATGTATGTTTTGAAATATTTTTTAGTGTTATTATTAAAGTCTCATCATGATCCTCTCTAAGCAAATATTGATGTTGTTATTGTATGCCATCAAGTCATAACCAATCCATAGGTTTTCAGAGGCAGTAAAAAGCATGCAAGATTTCCAGTCTTTTTCGCATGGACAAGCTGTTGGATTCAGTGTTTTGGGGATTGCAGTACAGATTCTTTCTTTCCACCAGGCCACCTAAGCTCCCTAATATATAGGACAATTTTATGACTCAATGAGCATCTTTTTATCCTTATTCCAGGGGCCATAATAAGTAATTTGTTTATTTATATTTTGTTATTTTGTTCTCACCAATACCAGTAATGAAAAAGATACTTTCGAGAATAAACTCAAACACATTGCCATAAAGTCAGATCCAACATATACAGAACAGAACTGTCCCATAGGGTTTCCAAAGCTTTAAATCTTATCAGAAGCCAGCTGTCACATCTTTCTGTCCTTGAAAAGCTGGTAGGTTAAAACCTCTGACCTTTCAGTTAGTAACTGACCACCTAACCATTGTGGTGTTGTTATGTGCCATCGAGTCGCTTGCCACCCATAGCAACGCTATGTACAGCAGCCCTAAACTCTACTCTGTCCTGCGCCAATCGCACTGTCTCTGACACTCCCATCCCAATTACCCCAGTCACTGAATCAATCCACCTCATAGAGGGCCTTCCCCTCCTGCGCTGTCCTTCCACCCTCCCAAGCATGATGTCCCTAAGGACTGGTCTCTCCTTACAATATGTCCAAAGTATGTTAGAGGAGCCTCAGAATCCTTGCCTACAAGGAGCCACCCAGTTTAACCTTTTCCAGGATGAATTTGTTTGTTTTCCTAGCAGTCCATGGTACTATCAACACTCTTCTCTAAAACCACAGCTCATAGGCATCAATTCTCCTATCCTTCTTGGTCATTGTCCAGCTCTCTGATGCATAACACGTGACTGCAAAGACCATGGCCTGTATCAGACACACCTTAGTCTCCAGAGAGACACCATTGCTCTTCAGTACTTTGGAGAGGTCCCTAACAGCAGACTTTCCCATGCAATATGTCTTTTAATTTCCTGGCTACTGGTGCCAAGAGTGTTGACTGTGGGGCCAAGCAAACTAAAGCTGTGTACAATCTCAATCTCTTCACCATCCATCCTGATGCTGCCAATTTGTCCAGTGGTGAGAATCTTTGTCTTCTTGACGTTGAGCCTCAATCCATATTGGAGGCTGCAGTCCGTGATACTCTGCAGCAAGCGCTTCAGGTCCTAATCAGTTTCAGCAAGCAGGGCTATGTCATCTGCATAACGTAGATTGTTGATAGATTGTCCACCAATCTTGACCCCACATTTCTCCTCATAGAGCCCAGCTTCCCGGATAATCTGCTCTGCATACAGGTTGAAAAGGTATGGAGATAGGATGCATCCCTAGCATATGCCCTTCACAATTTTGAACCATGCAGTGTTCCCAGGAAATCATCAAATTAGGGAAATTCATAGGTGTTAATTCCTTGCTTTTCTATATATAAATTTTTTGTCTTATACTGGTTTACATGCAAAGTTCATATGCATTGCTTTTACAGCTGATCTTTCCCATTTTCTTAACCCACTTCTCCTTCTGCCCATCATATTGTGTGACTCTATGATTATGCCTCCCCATTCTCATGACCTTTGCTCCCCTTTTACCCCCTTAGATCCATCCTCATACATGCTTTGCTAGTTATCTATTTCTACATTAATGGTCTTATACACTATAACTCTCTGCTAGAAAATAATTGGGTCATAAAATAAATAATGAAATTTAAAAAGTTCCTTGAAACAAATGAAAATGAAAATACAACATACCAAAACCTCTGGGATGCAGCTAATGCCGTCCTCAGGGGCAGTTGATTGCAATAAGCATACACATAAAAAAGGAATAAAGAAAAAAGTCAATAATCTAACCCATCACCTTCATCAATTAGGCAAAAAGAACAACAATCTCACCCTACATCCTCTTGAAGGAAGGACATTTTAGGGACAGGAGCTGAAATCAGTGAAATAGAGAACAGAAAAACATTTGAAACTATCAATATGTCCCTTGTTTTCTTTCAAATTTTTACCATATTTAGTCAATAAATTGGAGGGAAATTGAAATTACTTTTTCCACTTCATCTGTCTTAGGAGGCACTTCATGACAACATTATCATCGTTCACTATCTTTGCATAGTATTTGCTAAGAAACTAACCTTTTCAATGGGGTTAATCCTTGTTAAAGAAAAAACATTCTCCCTTTATACTTATAAAGCAGTGAAGAATACAAATAATTTTTTCTTCATTTTGCCCCATTAGCTAAATTATAACAGCTGATAATCTTTTCCTATTCAGATCATACATAAATGTTTCCCAACTTCAGTCATATTATGAGGCTCAATATTGATTTTGAGGTGGTTTTCACTTAAGAATGGCTCTATATTCCCTGTTTTAATTATGTTTCTTACATATGTATTTCCATCATAGAAACAAGGATCGGAGATTAATTTTAAAGAAGCTTCCAGAGAAGAAGGTATCCAGAAAGGTCCCAAAATAGTAATGGTGTTAAAAGCAACAAAACCCTTTGAATATGAGCACAGAAATGAGACTAGAATGATGTTTCATGCCACTGTGGCTACTCAGAGTGAGTTCTTCCACATGAAGATTTTTGACATAAACCTAAAGGAGAAGTTCACCCCAAAAAGAGTTATTGCCATATCAGATTATGTTGGTCGAAATGGCTTCCTGGAGGTGTATAATGTTTCGATTGTGACTGATGTTAATGTTGAACAAAAGATGGAGATCTCAAGTACACTTATTAAAATTGCAAATGCAACTCCTAAAATTGGACAACTTCTCTTGCAAGTCCCAGGAACATTTGTGAATGGGGTGTTTAAGGTGTATAAGGTAAGTGAACACCACTTTTCATATCATAATCTTCTGAAACATTAGAATTAAACCAGTCACTAAATAACTGGAATTTGGTCAACTTACTTGGAGACTATCTCCAATTCAGAATATGGAATCAGTAATCTATTAGCATTCCTCTTCACAAAACATCATTCATCATGCAGGTTTTGTATTATGAGAGTCACCAAGAAACCTTGGCTTTTCCCCACCTCAGCTATGAAGTTATTCATAGCGATCATAGTAAAAGACCAGTGGAAATTTATACAAATATATTATTAGGATTATATTTATTGCCAATCTTCTTATCTGTGATAGTGACCAGAATAACTTAATTGTGAATTGAATTCAATTTGTATCTTAAATTTAAATTCTGTTATTGAAAATAGAGAGAGAGAAAGTGACTACTCTTTTCTAAAATACAACCATAATCTAGATGATTATGCTGACATTATAGTCATCCAGGCCTGAAACTGCTACAACCTTTGTCCCATTTATTCATTCATCCATGCATTGTGGAGAAATTGACAGTAATTTATGAAAGAAATATATAATAATATATGTTTCATGTTAGGTAAATGAAAGAAAAATAGATGAGACCATGCATTTTGACCCCTCAATTTACAAATCCAAAAATCCAACTTTTCTGGAAACTTTTGTTAAAATCTAAATTAAAATTAAAATTTTTATTTATAAAATAGAAATCCAAAAATTCCTTGCTATCAAGTCAATTCTAAATAATAGTGACCCAAAGAACAGAATAGAGCTTCCCCAAGAGTTTCCAGTACTGTAAATCTGTACAGAAGTAGATGGCTACATCTTTCCTTTGCTGAGTGGTTGATGAGTTCAAAGTGCTGACCTTCTTAGCTCAACAACTCAACTCACTTAACTCACTGCTATATAACTGACTTCTTATGACCTTCTGGTGGGTTTTGTTTTTGTTTTTTAGAGGCTATATATCACAGAAACGGTGATTGTCCCATGAAATCTGTAGGATTACTCATGTCAAACCAGTGGTAGATTTGAAAGGTCAAAGAGGCATTTCTTTGAGTTAAGAACACAACTCCCCACAGACTCTCATCAGTTCTCCTAGTCCAGTGATTAAGCATTTGTGCCACCAGAGCTATTTCATTAATTGTTGTTATGTGCCTTCGAGTTGCTTGCGACTCATAGCGACTCTATGTACAACAGCCCTAAGCTTCGCTCTGTCCTGTGCCAATCGCACTGTCTCTGACACTCCCATCCCAATTATCCCAGTCATTGAATCAATCCACCTCATAGAGGGCCTTCCTCTCCTGCGCTGTCCTTCCACCCTCCCAAGCATGATGTCCCTCTCTAAGGACCGGTCTCTCCTCACAACATGTCCAAAGTATGTTAGACGGAGCCTCAGAATCTTTGCCTCCAAGGAGCCACCTGGTTTAACCCTTTCCAGGACAAATCTGCTTGTTTTCCTAGCAGTCTAGGGTATTCTCAATACTCTTCTCCAGCACCACAGCTCAAAGGCATCAATTCTCCTTCTATCCTCCCTGGTCATTGTCCAACACTCTGATGCATAACAAGTGATTGCGAAGACCATAGACTCCAGAGAGACACCATTGCTCTTCAGTTCTTTGGAGAGGTCCTTAACAGCAGACTTTCCCATGGCAATGCACCTTTTAATTTCCTGGCTGCTGGTGCCAAGACAGTTGACTATGGAGCCAAGCAAACTAAAGCTGTGTACAATCTCAATCACTTCACCATTCATCCTGATGCTGCCAATTGGTCCAGTGGTGAGAATCTTTGTCTTCTTGACATTGAGCCTCAATCCATATTGTAGGCTGCAGTCCTTGACACTCTGCAGGTCCTCTTCAGTTTCAGCAAGCAGGGTTGTGTCATCTGCATAACGCAGATTGTTGATAAATCGTCCACCAATATTGACCCCACATTTCTCCTCATAGAGCCCAGCCTCCCGGATAATCTGTTCTGCATATAGGTTGAAAAGGTATGGAGATAGGATGCATCCCTGGCGTACGCCCTTCCCAATTTTGAACCATGCAGTGTTCCTTGCTCTGTTAATGACGACTGCCTCCTGGTCCAATATAAGTTTCGCATTAGAACGATCAAGTGTTCTGGGATTCCCACTGTTCTCAGAGTCAGCCACAGCTTGTTATGATCTACACAGTCAAATGCCTTTGCATAGTCAATGAAACACAGATAGACATTCCTCTGGTATTCCCTGCTTTCAGCCAAGATCCATCTAACATCAGCTACAATATCTCTAGTACCACGACCCCTTCTAAACCCAGCCTAGACTTCTGGTAGTTCTCTGTTGATGTGCTGTTCCAGTCGTTTTTGGATAATCTTCAGTAAAATCTTGCTTGAGTGTGAAATCAGTGAGATTGTTCTGTAGTTTCCACATTCTGTTGGGTCACCTTTCTTTGAGATAGGAACAAATATAGATCTCTTCTAGTCAGTTGGCCAAGTGGTCGTTCTTCAGATTTCTTGGCACAACTTGGTGAGCACGTCCAGGGCAGCATCTGTTAACTGAAATATGTCAATTGGTATACCATCTATTCCTGGAGCCTTATTTTTTGCCATTTCTTTCAAAGCAGCCTGAACTTCTTTCATCACCATAGGCTCTTGCTCATATGTTGTTTCATGAAATTCTTCTGTGTCTTCCAATTCCTTTCGATACAGTGACTCAGTATATTTTTTCCATCTTCTTTTAATACTTCCTAGATCATTTAACATTCTGCCAAAAGCATCCTTGATTATAGGAACTCGAGGTTTGAATTTGTTCTTCAGTTCCTTGAGCTTAAGATATGCTGAGTGAATATTGATTTCATTAATAGATATAAAAATTAACAAACAAATGGATAGAGAAGCTTTGGTATATTCACACAATGGAATACTATGTTGCATTGAAAAACAAGGAACACATGAAATATTATAATGGGTGACTCTAGAGGACATTATACTGAGTGAAAGATCTCAGTCACAAAAGAACAAATATCACATAGTACCACTGTTGTAAAACAGGACTAACATTGGAGTTGAGGGGAGAGTGAGAAAGAGGGGATAAATAACGTATACTGCATTGAAACAGATGAGGGAGAGAACTGTTTGAAAGGGATATATGATTAGGTATTATTGTCATGACAGGAATCCAGAACGAAGGCTGCATAGTGAGTGGACTTAGGGAGGAGGGATTGTATAACAATGAAAGAATTTTTCTTTTACTTTTCAAAGAAAAGAGTGAATTTTGGGGGATGGGTGGGAAGGGAGAAAAGTGCAACAATGAAGGAATGGAAATCCAGAGTCTCTGTAAACTTTCATTAAAATTAACAAAAGAAAATAAGCATGGTTATGCCTTATTGTCAGTGAGTCAGAGCCAACTCACGCCTGAATCTCCAGTAGGTTTTCTAAAAGTTGCAAATTGCATGAGAGGAAATTGCCCATTTTTATGCACTGCTAGATTCAAACTAGTCACCTCTGGGTTAGCAGCTTAACTCCCAGCATAATTCCATAATTACACCACCAAAGTATTCCTAAAAAGAGCTACTTGTTAAATAAAGAGACATTTCTTGAGCTTAGAATTAGAATATGTCCTTCAGTCTCAAGAAACCATGTAAACACTAAAGCTAGTTGACTTTTTATTTGAAGTGTTTGTTTTATTCTATTATATATATCTCCTACACTGACTGATTTTATCTGTACTAGCTATTGGGCATGTTGTAAGGAGAGACAGGTCTTTAGAGAGGGACATCATGCTGGGTAGAGTGGAGGGACAGCGCAGGAGGGGAAGACCCTCTATGAGGTAGATTGATTCAGTGACTGGGGTAATCGGGATGGACGTGTCAGAGACAGTGAGATTGGCACAGGATAGAGCACGGTTTAGGGCTGTTGTACATAGGGTCGCTATGAGTCGCAAACAACTCGACGGCACATAACAACAACAACAACAACAGCTGTTGTATATTCTGTTTAAATAATTGTATCTATTTCCTAGAGCTAATTTAACAATGTCTCGTACATACATAGAGAGCTCTGTTGTCATAGTTCATAAGGCACTGCCAGCCTAAAGGTGGTGCCTCTCTGAGGGTCAAATCCACAAGCAGCTCCGTGGAAGAAAAATGAATAATTTCTTTCCATGCAATTTATGGCCTCCAAAACCCCACTGAAAGGTAACCTATGAATTGTTTCTAACTCAATAGCAGTGAATGAATAAGACTTATATCTCATGTTAAAGATTAATTTCCATTAAAACTAAAATATCTACCATATATGTGTAAATTTCAGATCTTGTCCTTAGAAGATTCTTTTCTCCTACAGAAAATGGTGAGGGACAAATGCATATACTATGAAATACAAGATAATACTGGGAAGATGGAAGTGTTAGTATACGGAAGATTGACCCAAATCAATTGCCAAGAAGGTGATAAACTTCAACTCATTTGCTTTGAATTGTCACCAAGTATGCACTTGTGGCAGCTGAGATCTGTAATTCACAGTTTCATGAAGGTAGGAACTGTTGAGGTAATATGGTTCTTACAATGTGAAAGATTCATTTTCGCATTAAGAAAACTAAATTGCTACTATTACAGAGATTTCAGTAAGTAACAAAAGAACTAATACTTGCTACTTAGCACATGCCCTTATTCCCCACCTCTCTTCTTTCCTCCTTTCTATTTTTTCTCTTTTGTTTAGCATACATTATTGTGAGAAAACTTCTTAACTATTTTGAAGAGGAAAAATACAAAGGATCTTTACAATGATGAAGATAAATTGAATAAATATTAAAGAACAGGTAAACTTTATCAATTTATCAATTATTCTATGACTGGAGTGGTGGGAATGAGTGCATTTGAGATGGCTGGGTTGGCACAGGATAGAACAGCATTTAGAGCTCTTGTACATAGGGTCACTATGAGTCACAAGCAACTCAATGGTACATAACAACAACAACATCAATTAAATTTATCAATTATATTATAGATGAGAAGATTAGTTGGCATGCTATTAAAGAAATTTAAGCAAGACATTATAAATTTGGGCAACGGAGAAGAAAGTATTGTAAGGACAGTTTCTATATTACCTTGTTAGTTACTGGGTGATGATGAGAAGAAAGAGGTGAATTCAAAGATGATATTTAGGTGATCCCCATAGTCATCTGGATGAAAGAGACACCATTCATTAAAGTAAAGAACATGGGAGGAAGAGCAGATTCTATGGAATTAAAACAATTGTGTTCTGCTTTGATCAAGTTAAGTTTAAAGTGCTTATAAGTTATCTGAGAACTATTTTTGAAATATATAGATCTGGAATTGAAAGAAAATTTTGATGGAATTTTATCAACAAAAGGTGGTGAGTGACATTACCTACACAGAAAATTAACAATAATGACAAATATTGTGTACTCATAAGGAGCTAGATATTTTTATAAAAGCTGTTCATACTTTGTTGTTGTTGTTAAGTGCTGTCGAGTTGAAGAGAACTCATAATAACCCAATGAACAAAAGACCTGAACACTTGTACAACTTGCATCATTTCTCCAAGTTCATAGTGTTTCTGGAGGTAAGTTATTTCAGAAGTGGATGCCATTCCTGCTTCCAAGCTTGTTTCATTCAGGGAGCTCCACCAAACACTGTCCACTTTGGGTAACCATTTGACACATCAGTGTCACAGTGTTTAGCATCACAGCAACCACGAGTTATCTCTATACAGCTAGTGGACAGAGCAGAGCTGTATGACCTAGAAGAATGTTTAAACAAAAAATGAACTGCCAATATATGTTTCAGAAAAGGTACAACCAGAGTGCTCCTTGGAGTCAAGGATGGTGAAGTTGTTTCTTTCATATTTTGGACATGCTCAGAGAAGCTATTCCATGGAAAGGGGCATCATGCTTGGGAAGTTGGAGGTCAGTGAAAGAGAGGAAGAACTCTAGTGAGGTGAATTCACATGATTCACTGCATTTACAATGGATTCACTACAGCAACAGGCTTAAGTATATCAGATATGATGAGGATGACACAGGGTAGGATAAGTATTTAGGTCTGTTGTTCATAAGGGCACAATGAAACATACTCAACTCAACAGCACCTAACAACAAGAAGATCAGAAAAGAAACATTAATAAAAGATTGGCCAAAGGAGCTCTGGTGGCCTAGTGGCAAGAAGTTGTGCTGCAATCCTGAAGGCATGCTGTTCGAATCCACCAGATGCTCTGCTAGAGAAGGAGGAACAATCTCCCCCTGTGCTAGTTGAATCCCATTTGATGGTACATAACAAGAAAAAAAAATTTGGAAATAAACATACCATTTATGCCAGCTATCCCATGATTAGGAATATGCTCTAAAGAAACCATAGTTGTGACACAAACCATTGTATGCACACACGTTTAAAAATAAAGAAATAATAGATTAATAAAGTCCATATTAAACAAAACAAAATTTTAAAAATGCATTGCACTTGAGTCAATTCTGACTCATAATTACCTTCTAGAATAGAGTCCATATCAAAGTTAAATGACCAAAGATTTCCTCCAAAATCCCAGAACAGAAGAGCATCTGTCTTTAGTGAAAAGCACATTCTGGTGTATGACAAACAGATGTGGTAGTATTTATATCACAAATATTTGCCATGCCTACACACCTTCATTTGGGATTCATGGTAACATTAACCTGAGCTAACTTTTGAATGTTCACATACATTACAAAGAATAATATATCCTGGTACATAGAAATGTATATACTCTTAGATCTCACTATTTCTGGGATCCATCTTTTCAAACATCCTAAACCCTGCAAAAATTGCATCAGCAAGCCTTTTGAACCCTTCTTTCACTTTTCTTTTCTAATCAAAATATTCTCCTAACTGCCTGACAAAGGGAGTATTAGTTCTTTCTTCTTCCCTAGCTCCCTGACACCTGCTTCCCAGTTAATATGTATTTATGAGTACAAGTGAATATTTGTAGGTGAATATTTCTTTTAGATTCTCAACCAAGGAAGGTAAGTAGTGGCTGAAATGACAAATGTACATTAAAAGAGATAGGTAAATGTAAGAGAGAGCTTAGGTGGTGGTGGTTTGTTTGTAGGGTTTTTTTTTAACGTTATGTGAGTGAAAGTGTACAAACCAAATTGATTCCACCACTCACCCACATTTTGGTTTTTTTTTTTTTAATTAATTTTAATGAACGTTTATAGAGACTTTGGATGTCCATTCATTCACTGTTACATTTTTCTCCCTGCCCCCTCACTCTTCTTTTGGGATTCATGGTAACACTAACCCCACAGTTCACTCTTCTCTTTGAAAAGTAAAATTCTTTCATTGGAGTACAATCTCTATCCCCACCCCCACATCCACTCCACTATGTAGCCTTCATTCTGGACTCCTGTCATTACAATAATATCCAATCATAATATGGTTTTTAAACAGTTCTCTCCTTCATCTGTTTCAATGCAGTATACATAATTTATCCAATCTTTCTCACCCCAATCCTGCTGTCAGTCTCGTTCTACATTTTGTTTTATAACATAAATTACAATACATATAATGTAACCATACTCTCCTTAATTGCTACTTATGATCTTTGATTCCTTTAATCTCCTTTCCTACCTCTTCCTGCCTTTTGAACTTTATTCTTAAACAAATACCTCCCAGTGGTGCTGTTCACTCTCTAGTCCTACCTAATTTTTGGCTGAAAGTTGAGGTATGTAGGTGAGTTTTGTTCCAAGTTAAAAAAATTACTAAAGGATGTAGTCTTGGGATTCAACTAGAGGATGAGTTGCTAGTCCTATGGTCTTGGGACCATAGTCTCAGAGACCATCAAGATAATTGATACAACAAAGTCTATGAAGACAAGAATATCAACTAGAATCTTAAAAGCTTGCCATCAACCATCTAAGGTATAATTATTGGTCTCTCTCTGTTTGAAACAAAGATTTCTAAAAAGAGAATAAGAAAAGAGTTGTGGCTTATAAGTAGTAGGCAAGCGGAATGTGAATCAGAGAAAAAATTATCACCAGCTATATCTCAATTGATCCGTTTTTATTTCTTTATTCTTCAAGGTTATCAAGGCTAAGAAACACATCAACCAGTCGATCAATCCTAATTCAAATATGGAAACTTGATTAGGACCTTCGTTGTATATATTTGGATGTTATTGATAATGATGTTTATGGAATAAGAACTGTATGTGGAAAAAGAAAGATTGGCAATCTCCTCCCATGTGATTTAATATCTCTGCGAACCCACTAGAGAATTGGTTATAAGATGGTTCCAACTCACGGTACATAATATGTGTATATTTGGTTAAAAGAAATGCTGTATTTATCAGCTATTAACTTTAGGGGATGAGCTTAGAGGTACTTTATTTTCTTCATTATATAAATTTTTATTAATCCAATATTTTGTTGGGTTTTATTATTCATTGTTGCACATTTTCTCCCCCTTAACTCCTCCTCCCCATCCCACCCTGCAATCCACCCCTTGTTCCTGATTATTCTCATACATATAATATTTAATCATATATTCCTATCAAACAGTTCTTCCTCTCATCTCTTCTAATGCAGTGTTCATTATCTATCCACTCTTTCCCCAATTCTTCTTCAACACCTCCCCATGTCTCTCCCATTTTATAATAGTGGTATTGGTAAGTATCTATCCTGTTGTGATTGAGATATTTCACTTTGAATAATGTCTTCAAGGCTCCCTCATGTTGTGTAATGTTTTACTACTTCATTGTTTTTCAATGCTGTGAAGTATTCCATTATGTGGATGTCCCAGAGCTTTTCTATCCGTTTGTTTACTGATGGGTACTTGGATGGCTTCCACCTCTTTGCTATTGTGAATAATGCAGAAATAAACATGGATGTGCGTACATCTGTTTGAGTTGTGGCTCTCGTTTCTGTGGGGTATATTCCCAGGAGTAATTGCTGGGTCAAATAGTATTTCTTTTTCCGGCTTTCTGAGAAAGTGCCAGACCACCTTTCATAGTGGAATCACCATTGTACATTCCCACAAGCAGTGAATAAGAGTTCCAATCTCTCCACAACTTTGCCAGCATTTGTGGCTTTCTGCTCTGTAGAATTTGCTATTTTGTGTATATAGCATTTGTAGCTTAAAAAAGAGCACGCACGTTGTTATCCCCCCCTTTAAAGAAGTCCTTCCTAAAGTCTCTCTGGTTTATTGTAACCTGTAGAGCAGAATGGAATGCACCACCTTACCCCTATTCCATCCTACCTCTACTTCTTGTTGGATTTACACTTTAAATGGAATCTTTAGAATAAAATGCTCTGACCAAGAAGAAACATACTACACTATGCACCAAGGAACTCAGGTGGGGTGGGGAGTGACAGCTAGGCCTGAAATCCAACCTGCGGTATTATTGCTATGCCCTTTTTCTAGGAAAGAGGTTGCTTTAACTCAGAACAAAGATATCTTTTCAGAATTAGCCTACTCAAAGGGGGCATGATAAGGTAGTTTTCCTAGGAGGAAAAAGAAAAGTCTATGTTATGGAGAATCTGGGAAGTACACACAGGTTACGGCAGAGTTTGATTAGCTATTTATTGGGTCACTATGAGTTGTAATTTATTTGATGCATCAAACAACAAGCACTAGTATATGTTAGAAGCATTGCTAGCTTTATATAGAATACTCATTGTTATTAATTTGTTTAAATGCCAATTTGCTCCTTTTTTGTTGTGTTGTTATATGCCATCAAGTTGTGTGTGGCTCATAGCAACCTCATGTTTAATAATTCTGAACCCTACCCTGTCCTCAGCCAATCTCTTCATCTCCAAAAGACCTAATCCCATTGCTCCATTCACTGAGTTATCCCATATCATACAGTCTTCCTTTCATGTGCTGTCCCTCCACCGTTCCAAGCATAATGTCCTTCTCCAAGATCTGGTTTCACCTGTCCATGTGCCCAAAATATGTGAGACAGAGCTTCAATATCCTTGCCTCCAGGGAGCAACTTGATCTCTCCCTCCCCAGGACAGACTTGTTGGTTCTCCTGGCAGTCCACATTTATGTTCACCACTCTTCTCCAGCACCATTAATCAGAGTCATGCGGCCTTCTGTCATCCTAAGCTTATTGTCCAGCTCTCTGATACATAGCAAGTAATTGCAAAGACGATAACCTGGATAAGGCTTACCTTGGTTTCCAGACTGGCATTGTTGCTTTTTAATATTCTAGAGAGGTCCCTGACAGTAGACTTTCTAAATATAATTCATCTTTTGATTTCGTGACTGCTTGTGCCAAGAGTGTTGATTGTGGAACTAAACAAGTTGAAGTTATCAACAATCTCATCCTTTTCTCCATTTATCATGAAGCTGTCAATTGGCCCAGCAGTAAGAATGTTTGTTTTCTTGATAGAGAGCTTCAGTCCATATCTAAGACTACAGTCTTTGACTTTCTGTAGAAAATGCCTCATGTCCTCTTCAGTCTCAGCAAGCAAGGTTGTGTCATGTGCATAACACAGGTTGTTGATGAGTCTTCCTATAAAACTCATAAATTTCAGCCTCCCAGAAGATCTGATCCACAGATAGATTGGAAAGTTATGAAGATAGGATGCATCCATGATGCATGCCTTTCCTGATTCTGAGCCATTCAGTGTTTTCCTACTATGCTCTGACTACTGCTTTCTGGTTCAAGAATACAGGTTCTGCGTGAACACAAGTGTTCTGGGATTCTCATTTTTCTCAAGGTTAGCCACAATAAGTTATGATACACACAATCAAATGCCTTTGCATAGTCAATGAAACACAGATAGACATTCCTCTATCACTTTATGTTTTCAGCCAAGATCCATCTAACATTGGCTATGATGTCCCTAATGCCACGACCTCTTCTGAACCCAGCCTGCACATCTAGCAGTTCTCTGCTGATGCATTGTTTTAGTCGTTTCTGGATATCTTCAGCAGGATCTTACTTGTATGTGACATTAGTAATATTATTCGATAATTTCCACAATCTACTGGGTCATCTTTTTTTGGACTGTGAATAAATATAATTTCTTCTAGTCAGTCGGTTAGTCAGGTAATTGTCCTCCAGATTTCTTGGTGATCCAATAATATTTACTGGTTAATATTACAAATAGAAGTCTCTGTATGGTACAGATGGTTCACACTCTCAGCTTCTAACAAAAGGGTTAGAAGTTGGAGTGTATTCAGCAACAACCTATAGAAAGAGCAAGAGTATATCTGACCTTTACCAAATTGATGAAGGAGAACTCTCCTAGGCAACAACAGCATTAGCAACAAAAAATCCATTCCCATGAGGTTAGACGTGTTTCCCATGCTCCCGTATCTATTTCTACTCATCTCAACACCATTCTGACTGTTCTGCTTGGTCCAAAATCCAATGTGATAGCTGAGAGTCCTTACAGAACTATACTGGGAATGTCAAAAGTTCATAATTCAGTTTAATAGTAGGATACAAGGATATCATCCATGAAGAATACAAAAAGTAATTACAAAAACAGAGGAGGAAGAAAAGACCAAGACAGACATCAAATTAGACCCTGAATATTGCACTAGAGAGCTGAGAAGCCAAAGTAAAGGGAAGAAATCAAGAAATTAAGGAGCTGAACAGAAGAGTTCAAAGGGCAGCTTGAAAAGACAATGCAAAGTATTATAATGAAATGTGCAAAGAGGTGGAGTTAGAAAATCAAAAAGGCCCAACTTACTCGGTATTTCTTAAGCTGAAGGAATTGAAAAACAAATTCAAGCCATGAGTTTCAATACTTAAGGATGCTTTGGGCAGAATATCAAATGATCCAAGAAGAATGAAAAGAAGATGGAAGGAACATACAGAGTCACTGTACCTGAAGGAATTATCTGACACAGAAGAATTTCAAGAAACACGTATGAGCAAGAGTTTGTGGTAATGAAGGAAGAAGTTCAAGCTGCTCTGAAAGAATTGGCAAAAAAACAAGGCTCCAAGAATTGATGGCATACCAATTGACATATTGCAACAAGCAGACGCTGCCATGGATGTGCTCACTAAGTTGTGCCGAGAAATCTGGAGGGCAGTCACCTGGCAAACTAACTGACTGGAAGAGACCTATATTTTTTTTTCCATTCCAAAGAAAGGTGACCAAACAGAGTGCTGAAATTATCGAGCAATATTAATACTATCACACGCAAGCAGGATTCTCCTGACAATCATCCAAAAATGACAGGAGCCGCACATCAGCAGACAACTGCCAGATGTACAGGTTGGGTTTAGAAGAGGCCATGGTACTAGGGATATTACAGCTAATGCTAGATGGATTGTGGCTGAAAGCAGAGAGTGTCAGAGGAATATCTACGTGTGTTTCATTGACTATGCAAAAGTGTTTGTGTGGATAACCACAAACGGTGGCTGACTCTAAGAAGAATGGGAATCCCAGAACATTTGATTGTACTTATGCAGAACCTATATTTGAACCAGGAGGCAGTTGTCAGGACAGAGCAAGGAGTCAGAGCATGGTTCAAAATCAGAAAGGGTATACATCAGGGATGTATTCTGTCCCCACACCTTTTCAATCAGTAAGCAGAACAGATTATTTGGGATGCTGGGCTGTATAAGGAGGAATGTGGTATCAGGACTGGAGGAAGATTCATCAAAACATACATTATGCAGATGAAACAACCCTGCTTGCTGTAGAAGGTCAAGGACTGCAGCCTTCAATATAGATTGAAGTTCAACATCAGTAAAATAAAAATTCTCACCACTGGGCCAATTGGCAGCATCATGATGGATTGTGAAGAGATTGAGATTGTTCACAGCTTGAGTTTGCTTGGCTCCACAATCTACACTCTTGGTATCAGCAGCCAGGATATCAAGAGATTAATTGTTTTGAGAAAGTCAGCTTGAGGGACCTCTCCAGAGTACTGAAGAACAATGACATCAGTCTGAAGACTAAGGTGTGCCTGATCCAAGCTGTAGTATTTGCAATTGCTTTCTATGTGTCAGAAAGCTTAACAATAACTGATGCCTTTGAATTGTGGTGCTGGAGTAGTTGTTGTTGTTGTTATGTACTGTCGAGCTGCTTGTGATTCATAATGACCCTATGTATAACAGCCCTAAACCCTGCTCTATCCTGTGCCAATCACACTGCCTCTGACATACCCATCCTGATTA